TTCTGCCTCTCTGATTTGTCGGTTCCGGGGGAAGGCGGGGTTTGGGAGAGAGCCGGTGGGACAGGCACTGAGGGGTGGGGTCTGACATCTGGGCCCAGTTTTTGGCCAACTCGCCTCGCCGGAGGGGAGCACCCCTGCACCCCTGCAGCTACCTGCAGGGGTAGTTTGTTGCTAGAGCAACGGAGCCTGTGACCTAACTGGAGGGAAGCCAGGACAGGGCCCCGAGCCCCCAGGGGATGTCCAAGAAGGCCCTTCATCCTTGAAACCCAGGCAGAGACAAACAAAAGAGTGTTCCTAGGAAGACTTCCCCCCTCCCCCGCCTCCCTGCCTGGTCTTCAATTTGCACAATATTCCATACCACAGAAAAGTATAAATGAGGGCTGAGGAGGAAGCCTTGGGTTCCATCCTCAACACTGCATAAACTGGAAATGGTGGTACATGCCTCTAATCCCAATACTGAGGTTATAGAAGCAAGAGGATCAAAACTTCGAGGTCATCCTCGGCTACACAGGGAGTTTGAGGTCATCCTGAACAGCAGGAGATCCTGTCTGGAAAAATAAAATAAAACATAATAAATGACAGGAGGTGTGATGACTCGCATCTGTAATATGTCAGAAGGCCGAGGCAGGAAGATTGCCAAGAGTTTGAAGTAAGTCTGGTATACAAAGTGAGTTTCAGGCCAAGATGTATATTACAGAACAAGATCGTATCCCAGGGCTGGAGAGATGGCTCAGACGTTAAGAGCATGGACTACTCTTCCAGAGATCCTGAGTTCAATTCCCAGCAACCACATGGTGGCTCATAACCATCTGTTATGAGATATGGTGCCCTCTTCTGGTGTGCAGATACACATGGAAGCCGAATGTTGTATACATAATAAATACTTAAAATCTTTAAAAAACAAAATCGTATCCCAATCTCACTTTGCCTCCTGCCCAGAAGCCAGGCAAAGTGATGCACACCTATTATCCCAAGACTTGAGGGGCCAAGGCAGGGCGGTATTCAAGACCAGCCTGGGCTGCATAGCAAGATCTGTCTCAGAGTTTAAAATTTTTCAAAGAGGGAGGTTGGGAATGGAACTCAGCTGCTAGAATGCTTGCCCTATGTGTATTAGGCCCTGAGTCCCATCTCTAGATCCATATAAACTAGAATTGGTGACGTGTGCCTATCACCCCACAACTTAGGAGACAGAGAAAGGAGGATACAGAGTTCAGGGTCATCCTTGTCTAGATACTGAGTTTGAGGCCAGTCTGAGCTATAAATAAATAAATAAATAAATAAATAAATAAATAAATAAATGGTGATGGGCAAATCATTACAGGAAAAAAAGGACACCATGAAAAGGGGAAGGAGAAATGAGAGGGTTGAAATTTCAGAACTGAAAACCAGTCATTCTCCTTTACAATCCCCATGCACATCTAACACCAGGTTTTATCAAAGTCATAATTTCAACTCTACTGACATGGACTGGAGATAGCACAGACTCAAGGACCTAGAAGCCAAGTCCAAAATTCCTGTCGTCATTCCAGGAGGAACATCACCTAGAGAAAGATGTCCAGTCTTAGAAATCTGCTGACAAGACTAAAAGAGGGCTCCATGAATGTTCAAGGGAAGATCATTTATTATACCCCCCCACCAAAAAAAGAGTAAAATTCAAGATGGATATTGCACTTGCCTGAAATTGGGTAGCTAGGAAGGCTAAGGCAGAAGAATTAGGAGTCAGGACTGAATGGAGTTCCAGGCTACATAGAGAGTCCTTGTCTTAAAAAAAAAGAAAGAAAGAAAGAAAGAAAAGCACCATAATAGGGCTTTATGGTTCATATCCATACTCATATAATCCCTACACTTGGGAGGTGGAGAAAGGAGAGTCAATATTTAAAGCTAGTCTTAGCTACATAGGCAAGTTTGAGGTACCCCTAGGCTACATGAGACCCTGACTCAAAAACAAGCTGGTTCAATTATGTAGATTGCTACTGCCCTTGTCAAGGACCAGAGTTTGTTTCTCAGCACCCATGTCAAGTGACTCACAACCACCTTTAACCCCAGCTCTAGAGGATTGGACGCTCTCTTTGGCCTCCACAGGCACCCACGTATACACAGAGAAGCACCTATATACACAGAAATAAATTATAGAAACGTACTAAAAATCTAAAACTCTCCTAGTTTGGCCTTGAATGTATGATCCTTCTACCTCGATTCTTCCTGAGCCTCCCCCTTGACAAGAATGGACCTGCTCAGACGGGAAGGCCCACCCTGAGTCCGGACGCACCTCACCCTTGGCACTCTTCCTCCCTCTGCCCTCCACCTGCCGCCTGAGAGAGGGAGAGACCCCACCTGCATCCACTGGAAGAAGGGATGGGAAGACGACAGAATAACACACTCAACAACAGAAAGATCAATATGACACCAGAGTCTAGGGACTCCACACCAGCAAGCACTGAAAAGCCCAACGCAGAGGATGAAGAAGAAATGAACCTTAAAAATTATCTTATGAAGATGATAGAGACCATTAAAGAGGAAACAAGAAAATCCCTTAAAGGAATAGAAAAAGCAGGCAAAAAATTTCATGAAATGGAGGAAAGGACAAACCAAAAAATTCAAGAAACACCACCACCGACAAATCCAAAACAAACAAGAATCAACAATCAATGGTCATTAATACCCCTCAATGTCAGTGGTCTTAATTTGCCTATAAAAAGATACAGGCTAACAGAATGGATATGAAGACAGAATCCATCCTTCTGCTGCATATAAGAAAAACATCTCGCCGGGCATTGGTGGCACATGCCTTAATCCCAGCACTCGGGAGGCAGAGGCAGAGGCAGACGGATCTCTGTGAGTGGTCTTAATTTGCCTATAAAAAGATACAGGCTAACAGAATGGATATGAAGAAGAAAGAAAGAAAGAAAGAAAGAAAGACATCTCAACTTCAAAGACAGACAGTACCTAAGAATTAAAGGTTGGGAAAAGATTTTCCAATCAAATGGACCCAAGAAACAAGTTGGTGTAGCAATCCTAATATCTAACAAATTAGACTTCAAACTAAAATCAAAAGAAATGAAGAAGGGCATTTCATACTTATTACAGGAAAAGTCCATCAAGATGAAGTCTCAATCCTGAACATCTATACCCCAAATACAAAGGCACCCACATTTGTAAAAGAAACATTACTAAAGCTCAAATCACACATAAAACCTCACACACTTACAGTAGAAGACTTCAACACCCCCCTCTCACCACTAGATAGGACTACTAGACAGAAACATAACAAAGAAACAAAAGAACGAACATGTTATGACCCAATTAGGTTTAACTAATATCTATAGACTATTCCATCCAAACACAAAGAATATACCTTCTTCTCAGCGCCACATGGAACCTTCTCTAAAATTGACCACAGCAAACCTACAGATAAAAAAAAAAAATGGAATAACCCCCTGTATCTTATTAGACCACCATGCTTTAAAGTTAGAATTCAACAACAACACAAATTGCAGAAACGAAATACAGAAAACCTACAAATTCATCGAAATTAAGTAACACCCAATTGCACAATTCATGGGTACAGGAAGAAAAAAAAGGAAGTTAAATATTTCCCAGAATTCAAAGAGAATTCAGACACAACATATCCAAACCTATGGGACACTTTGAATGCAGTGCTAAGAGGAACGTTCATAGCACTAAGTACCTGCATGAAGAAACTGGAGAATAGTCACACTAGAGAATTAACAGCTCAACTGAAAGCTCTAGAACAAAAGGAAGCAAACTCTCCCCGGAGGACTAGACGCCAGGAAATAATCAAACTTACAGCTGAAATCAATAAAGTAGAAGCTACAAAGACTCAATGAAACAAAGAGTTGGTTCTTCAAGAAAGTCAACAAGATAGACAAACCTTTATCCAAATTAACCAAAAGGTAGAGAGAGAGAGAGCATGTTAATTAACAAAATCAGAAAGGAAAAGGGGTACATAACAACGGACATTGAGGAAATCCAGAGAATCTTCAGGTCATACTTTGAAAACCTGTACTCCACAAAATTCAAAAATCTAAAGGAAATGGACAATTTTCTGGACAGTTATCACTTACCAAAATTAAATCAAGAATAGATAAGCAATTTAAACAAACCTATAACCCCTAATGAAATAGAAGCAGTCATCAAAAATCCACCAACCAAAAAAAGCCCATGGCCAGATGGTTTCAGTTCAGAGTTCTACCAGAAATTCAAAGAAGAGCTAATACCAGTACTCCTCAAATTGTTCCACATAATAGCAGCAGAAGGGACATTGCCAAGCTCTTTCTATGAGGCTACAATTACCTTGGTACCCAAGCTGCACAAAGACACAACAAAAAAAGAGAATTACAGACCAATATCTCTCATGAACATTGATGCAAAAATACTCAACAAAATACTGGCAAATCAAATCCAAAAACACATCAGAGAAATCATCCACCATGATTAAGTTGGCTTTATCCCAGGAATGCAGGGATGGT